GTGACTTTATTTCATTTCGCAGAAAAAATGTTAAATATAGTTTATATAAAACAGCACTTCTTTTCGCCGTAGCGTCCGTTCCGCAAATTCAAAAATAAATATAAAAAAACCAAAAGTAACAGAAAGTTTGTGCCGCTTTTATTTTTTAAAGCTAGGTATTGTCAGTTTGTTCTTCATCCCTGCTTAAAAAAATGCAAGATCCACTTTGATAAATTCTTTATTTTATTGAAAAAAATCGTACAAAGTGTAGCATCCGTTACACTGGAATGACTGTATATATAGTTAATTTAAATCCAAGAAAATATTGAATGTTAAACTGTTGATTCAATTGTTAACATACTTTTTCTTTCAATGTACGAATGTGTCGCAAAAATGAATATCCAAACACCGATGGCATAAAAAATCATGTCGTGATTTTTTATGCCATCGGTGTTTGGATATTTATTTTTGCGCCACATTCGTACATTGAGAGAAAAAGTATACCTACATATATATTGAATCAACATTCAATATTTTTATGGATTTAAATTAATAGTTAATTTACATCCAAGAAAATATTAAATGTATTTAACTGCAAAAACTGTTAATTCAATTGTTAACATACTTTTTCTTTCAATGTACGAATGTGGCGCAAAAATAAATATCCAAACATGTCGGTACACCGATGGCATAACAAATCAGGTCGTGATTTTTTATGCCCAAACACCGATAGCATAAAAAATCATGTCGTGATTTTTTATGCCATCGGTGTTTGGATATTTATTTTTGCGCCACATTCGTACATTGAGGGAAAAAGTATACCTACATATATATTGAATCAACATTCAATATTTTTATGGATTTAAATTAATAGTTAATTTACATCCAAGAAAATATTAAATGTATTTAACTGCAAAAACTGTTAATTTAATTGTTAACATACTTTTTCTTTCAATGTACCTACGAATGTGGCGCAAAAATAAATATCCAAACATGTCGGTGCACCACAAGTTTTTATTTACAAAATAACATTGTTCTATTATATTACTAATGTCAAATTTTGATAAATAGTTCTAAACAAAAGCTGTTTAACAAGGTTTTTATTTGGCAAAATTAGTTATCGTGGTTGACTGTTTAATTCCTTAAAAATTAATGTTTTTATTCAAAAAGACTACTAGTACTGTTTTTAATAAAAAAATGACTGTCGGTATTGCTTTTTTTGTCGGAACACGCATTGTTCGTAGCCCTTAATACATATATAGATTAGATAAAGGCAGAACAACTTTTAAATTTTAATATTAAATATTTAATTTATTTTTAAGCAAAAATACACAATGGGCGTTACTTGTCAATTTTGTTAATGTCTATGAGTTATTATAACTATATATACAGAATGATTCACCTAACTTATTCATTAGAAGTTTATGGAGAACGGAAAAAGATATCGATTTGAAATTTGTACAGCAACTATAAGGCAATGTAAACTATTTTTTAAAATTATTTTTAATGCGTTATTACGTCCGGTTAAACCGGAAGTGATATCAACTTTGGTTTTTTAAATGGAACTATATAAATATTATTGCATTTTTAAATTCTGAGTAAAATTCTAGAAATACTAAAATATGTTAATTTTTTTATTTTTAACAGTTTTTAAGATATTTAATTTTTTTCAAAAATTTTGACGGATGGATGGTCTTACTAATATGTAATGTGTAATGTTAAAAAGTTAATTTATGGTGTACAGGGTGATCCCCTATAATGTCGCCCCCCTTTAACTTTTTTATTTTAAGTGTCCCAAAAAATTTAAAAGTGTGGTTATGTAGGTACTAAAAATACTTTTTTTCTACGTATAAAGAAAATTGGAAAATGTATCAGTATACAGGGAAAAACAAAAAGTTTATTTTTTTTCAATGGATCACCCTATATATGTATTTATTTTTTGATTCCTTGTAAAATTCTAAGCATATTTCATATAATATACCATGTATCTAAATTTAACCGTTTCTGAAATATTTAAATTATTTTTAAGATAATAAGTTGAAATACAGTAGTTTGTCTTTCTCTGTCTGAGTACGCCATTTTTACTTATTTAACAAGACATATTGAAATAATGTCTCTATAGTAATTTATTTTCAATACAAATTTTGGTATACTGAGGCTTCTTGATTTCTAACAGTTTAAAAAAACATTTAATGATAACATTTCGAATGCGAATATTTTAGAAACGGTTGAATTTAGGTATATGGTCTGTTATATGAATTATGCTCAGAATTTTACAAGGAATCAAAAAATAAATTCATATATATGGATATCCATTGAAAAAAAATAAACTTTTTTTTTCCCTGTATATTGATCATTTCTCCATTTTTTTAAAGAAAAAGAGTATTTTTTAGTACCTACATAACCACACTTTTAAATTTTTTGGGACATTTAAAATTAAAAAGTTAAAGGAGGGAGACATTATAGGGGATCACCCTATACCTGTTAACAAAGGGGCACTCTATCGAGTATTTGAAAATATTATACAGGGTGTCTGGTATTTACGTTGACTTTTTTGTCACTTTAAATACCAATAACTTTCTTATATCAAACGAAACTACCATACCATTTTTACATTATTCGACACAAAACAATGTCCTATGTCCTATTGAAAGGCTGCAGCATTTTTGTTGAATTTCTGAATATTTGCGATTTATTTTATTTTTATTTTTCTTGTCGTATTTTCCCGTTGGAAAATAATGTACACGTGCTTACTGTTTTAATTATCACTTTATTTTTATTGGTGACATTTGATGACATTTAAATACATTTGCCTTTGGGTTTAGGTACAAGCTTAACTGCACACCCCGGACATCATCGAAACTCTCAAAACTTTGTCTACGTGACTTACTGGCCGTCGCGACGCGTCGCGCTTCTAGCGTCTTTTTCCCACCTAGTAGTCAAGGCGGGAACTCTTTACAATTCGAAATCAAAGTGACGTGCTCAACAATTCCCTATACCTAAAATAAATAAGAGATATTGCCCAAAATGTAAAAAACCGTTTATTTTTTTATTTGTAATATCAATAGAGTGCGTTGGATTGTCTTTTATTTCGTATTTATAAAGTAATGTCAATGTCAACGTCTTTCTGTTACAATGGGTGATAATAATAATTATAAACATGTTTTATACATATGGCGAGTGCGTAAAAGTTTTAGAAAGAACAATTGGAACTTTTAATGTGTAATATCAGTATTGTGCCTTGGATTGTTTTTATTTCGTATTAAACAACGTTAAAATAATTATCAATTTAAAGTTCAAAAGTAATATTAAAAAAATAAACAAATGTAACAAATAAAACAAATCTAAAGTAATTGTTCAATGTATCACCAATGTTGTTCACGACACATATTGATACGTCGCAAGACACCTTCAGAAATTGTTCTCAAAATTTCTTTATGGGACAATTACGAAAACTCTTGTCTCACTTTCTAAGTGGGGTTAAATTTGGATACCTCTTATTAAAAGTTATTATTCTTCTTTCTAAAACTTATAACACATGTTTAGAATATCTTAATTAGTGTAATTAGTATCACTCTTTGTAACACAATTGTCAGAGACGTTGACATTGACATTACTTTATAAATACGAAATAAAAGACAATCCAACGCACACTACTGATATTACAAATTAATAAATAAGCGGTATTTTCACATTTTTTGTAATATACTATATTTATTCAGTTTAGGTAAGTATAGGGAATGCTGCAGCATTTAAATAGAAAACATAATGTGAAAATTGTATGGTAGTTTCGTTTGAAATAAGAAAGTTACTGACTAAAGTGACAAAAAAGTCTACGTAAATACCGTACCTGGCTTTCGATAGAGTGCTCCTTAGTTAACAGGTACACTGAAAATTAACTTTTTAACATTACAGTATTGTGAGAATTAATGTGAACATTAGAAAATTCTATATTATTTTAACTTCGAACACTGCTGTGACAATTTTAACAGGTTTTTCTTGACATATCCCATAACCTATCATTCTGCATTAAGTAATTGCTAATGTCAGTGATTTTTCCGGTTATTGCGACTAATTTACACTAGGACAAACAGGTAACCTTTCTAGACCGGCCTGTAAACTCACCGGACATTAATCCTATTGAGAGTTTGTGGGCTATATGCAAGGACAGGTTGCTAAAAATGAATTCTACAAAAAAAATAATTTGATTAAGGTTGTCATTCAGGTGTGGTTTTAAGATGAAAAAATAAAGTAAAATTGCAAAACATTGATTAATTCTATGCCAAAACGAATTGAAGCTTTAATAAAGGCCAAAAAGGGGGCATATTCCCTAATAAATAATACTAAAATATTTATAAACTAGTACTGTTTGTATTTTTTTTCAACAAATAATATTTAACGTAAATCTATTTGTGTTCACATTAATTTGCACCATACTGTACAATTAGTGGTAATACAGACATATTAGTAAAAATTAGTCAAAATTTTTGGAAAAAAATTAAATATCTCAAAAACTGTTAAAAATAAAAAAAATAATCAAATTTTAGTATTTCTAGAATTTTACGTAGAATTTAAAAATGCAATAATGTTTATATGGTTCCATTTGAAAACCCAAAGTTGATATCACTTCCGGTGGTGATAACGGATGGAAAATAATTTAAAAAAATAGTTTACATTGCCTTATAATTGTTTTACAAATTTCAAATCGATATCTTTTTCCGTTCTCCATAAACTTCTAAAGAATAAGTTAGGTGAATCACCCTGTGTATATATATATATATAATATGTGTATAATAAAAAAACGGGTTTTGGGTACATTTTTCAAAACTCTCATAACTTTTCCATAATAAATAATTTGAGCCAAAGCTGTTGCTTTTTTTAAGAACATTATTTTTCTACCTTTGTCCAATTTAATAAAAAAAAATTAATAATAATTATTGTTGTAAATAAGTAGGTACACATAATATGTGTAATATAATATATTAATTTATAAAATTATTAGAGAATTATGAATTTTTTACCGTTATTGTTTCCACAGTGCGCGTTTTGCTGCTGATGGTCTGCGAGCTTACGATTTCGCCTGTTGCACTGTAGTTGCCATCTTCGGAAGCTAATTGCACTTTTCTGGACTCGGTTGCCACTACTGGTACATTTGTGGTACTAGTAACGTATGTTAAAGGATCTACGTTGTATACCACGGTCTCAGTTTGGACAATTCCCTCTGGCGTTTCCTTTTGAAAATTTATTTTGTTAATAAATTTGTTTAAGTATGCAAAATTAATTTAAACAGTAAAAATTAAATTATAAATACGTTTTAAAGTTAGGGGATACCGGAATTTTTACATTTTTTAACATACTGGGCTAAGTTGTATTTTTAAGTGTTATAACGGGTAAAAGATATTTTTTATGTTCTGGTAAATACCTGTAAAAAAGATTGATTTAACTTGGTACAATGGGTCACGAAACAACTGTTGACATTAATATCTAAAACTGCCTTTAAGGACAACTAACCTTACTTCAGGTTATCACTATAGTGAATATATTCTTGTAATTTTGACAGCAAAGCAAAAATGGTTATATTTGTAAATACAGAATTACACAAGGATGGCCAAATTAGGATGTTTGAAATTTCGTGTTCACCACTGTACTTGCTATTTTTATCTTTCTATTTAACTTATTTACTTTACCCCAATAAAGCAAAATTAAGTTAAATGTAAACATTTTTGTTGGGATAAAACAGTTAAGTTTAAAGAAAAAGTAACTATTTGGAAAATTAATTTCGCTTGTAAGTATTTACTAAAATATGTTTTACCTTCTTAAATACAATGTATATCATGGACACCAAAAAGTCCCATGCGAAAAGAGATAGCGCATGCAATACAAGGCTTCGAGTTGCGGTGTTGCCAGATTTTAACCTTTACTGCTTATTTGTAGGAAAGATTAATTCATATATTTTTAATGGCTTAACCGCCAGCGCCAACCAAAGGTTTATGAATTGCGCTTTAATCTGTGTGTAGTTGGAAATTACGGTAACGAAACAATCACATTGTTTTACGTATGTTGATAATTTAAGTAAGCTACTATTACAGATTTTGATTTTGACTCGACTTGCAATTTTTATTTCATTTATTTTTAAAAACCGTAAAATTATCAAACGTTTAATTTTATAACTTCTTATAAAAAAATCTTTAAACAAATATTTCTACTTGTTATTTTCCATCAGTATTACCAACACAAATGCTGCAAACACTCTTGGGTAAAACTTCATATTTCTACAACCGTTGAAGTTGGCGACTTATTTTTTTTTAAACTTTGTCAATGTTTTGACTACATTTGACTCGATATATATGTATGGAAATTTTCAATAATTCACATAGCTCCCCGCAGGGTATAGTATATTGTGTCTCAAGGGCAGAAAACTAGCTTTAGCAGCTCGCGGCTATTAACTGCCTGAGCGAGCGAAGCGAGGGCAGTTGATAGCTAAGGGCTGCTAATGCGTTTTCTGAATGTGTGACACACACCTGTTTTTCGCCTAGCATCAAACAAATTATTTTTTTAAATTTTATTAATATAAACGGAATTTTATAAAAAACTTCAGTAACAATTTACGAATTTATTTATTGTTGTAATTAATGTTAATTATGCCTCGAGCACAATTGTGAATAGTACCAAAATTTGAAGGCTTATTTCTACAGATGAAGTTAATGTTTCATTAGAAATTTCTTTGATCTTTCCGATAGATAAGCAACTAATACATTTTCTGTTAAGTTTTTGGGTTTTTGATCCTTTTTCCAGTTTTTAAATAATTCATAGCACTTTTCGTACCGTTGCAACGCATTGTCTTAACAGCTAGCTAGCTTCCTCTTTTTCAAATCTGGTCAAGTATTCGTAAATTTTTCGTCACTGCCCGAGTTACCATTCATTTTCACTTTATTACAAAATTTAAATTAGGTTTTATTCTTATTTTATACTTTTGTTGTCCATTTTTATTTTGATTTACACAAACGTCTGAAAATCTCAAATGTCAAAATGTTAAATGACAAAATACATAAATGTCAGTCAAAGGTATCTAGAATGTGAAAAACTAGGGACGATATGAGTTTAGCGACCCTAGAGACAATAAATAATTTCGGTCATATTTTTAGGTTTGATATGATTCATTTTTATATGTGCTGGGCGAAAAAAGTTTTTGATGCACGATTTTGATAATTCTATATTGCAATTTTTTTTTAAATCTTTAGAAATTTTTGAATTGCTATTAGAAGCGCTCACATTTCAAGTATATGTCTGCAAAAAATTGCCCCAAAAATATTATAATTATTATTTATTTTTTTGTATCAGCGACAGACTTTAGGAAAATTGACTTGTTTTCATTTTTCTGAAAATTTTTATATTTTGCATAATATAATTTATAAAGAATTTTAATTATAAACGGAGAAGCGATTTTATTCCACTATGAGGGTGGGTGATTCGTAACCGTTGTATTAATTCAAGAATACAATCTAAAATTCTGATTTTTTGCAGACTTATACTTGAAATGTGAGCGCTTCTAATAGCAATTCAAAAATTTCTAAAGAATTTGAAAAAAAATTGCAATATATAATTATCAAAATCGGGCATCAAAAACTTTACCCTGCGGCGAGCTATGTGAATTATTGAAAATTTCTATACATATATATCGAATCAAATATAGTCAAAACATTGAGAAAGTTTAAAAAAAAAATTAAGTCGTTGTAGAAATATGAATTTTTACCCAAGAGTCCTGAAATGCACGCTAGAATAATATAATAATAATATAACTGGAAACAAATTTTCGAACGCAAAAACGAAAAATGCACCTAAACCCCGTATAGCATACGCCCCCCTAGCATACGCCCCGCCTACTGACGGCGTGAGCAGATCAGGCAAGACAGAGTAAGCATGTCGACACGGTTTCGAATATCCGAGCACTGTCACATACATATAAAGAATTCTTAAGTCTTTTTAATTAAATAGATATTATTGTAGATTTCACAACAGTGCCTAGCGACTTTTTATTGGTTGTTTTGTATTCGCGGCAAGGTCAGAGAGAGAACGATAAAACCGGGTGGGACTTTATGATGTCCATCATAGTACCTACACGAAAAAAACATTGCCTTACCAATATTTACCACCCATAAAAAGTCTTAAATTACATAAGTATAACATTTATGTTAAATAAGGTTAAAATTTCAATATCTCATACTTTTAAAAAGCAGTATATGAAAATAATTTAACATATAAACCAATAAATAAATTTTACCTTTAAATAATTTTTTTAATAAATAAATGTTTTAGTGCGTAGTAGTAACTAGTACTAGGATCCACAGCCCAAAGGGCCCACTTTGACAAATGATAAGGAACACAAGCTTCAATAATTGAGGTTATGTATCTGTCAGTTAACGCCAAATTTCGCCTTTTTACTGAAAACAGTGACGCACTCCCACCATGGGGGGGGGGGGGAAATATGTGAAATTAGGACAAAAATATAACATAAAAAAGTTAAAATAAATATTTATTCATAATTCATGTGCCTTGTTGACTTCTTGGGCCTTTTAGTTGTGGAGCATGGAGCATACACAAGGAGTACGAACTGCATGTACACAAATGGTTTCCAAAATAAGAGGGCGCTGTTCTGTTGTTTGGTTTAAACAATTGTATCAAAACAGCAGTGGTAAAAAAGAACACGTAATTTGTGCGATTTAGTACGCGGGTTCTGTCAATTCTCCCTATTGAGTTTATAGTCATTGTGTAGGCTCCATGGTGTGGAGCATAGTACGTACATGTACAACTTTTATTAATTTTTTTAGTGGCTTCAAATAACAACCTTGAAAATAAAACATTTTTTACAAAATATACCTAGTTTTTAATTCGTAAAAACATTGTTTTTTTATCTTTTTTTTATGCTTTGATAAAAAACAATGTTTTTACGAATTCAAAACTGTATTTTATCTTCAAATTAAACGTTATTATCATCAATACAACACTAAAGTGATTGATTATAGTGTTAATTTTATATCTTATACAATAAAAACATATATTTTAATTACCAAGAACCCAATTACTAAAAAAAATAAAGCATACAAATATTTTTAAAAATCGCACAAACATACTAATTTTTGGGTACTAAAAGTGTATCTAGTCATGATTTCACACCATGCAAAACAAACACAATTTATTTAAAAATTTGTAAAACGCTTTAACCATGCTTACTTACATTTATTTGGGTTTGTGTGTAGTACATTAATTATTAATAAAAGTACAAGTGATAATATATAAATTTTAGTTATAACCACAATATAAATGATTATATGAGGGGTAAACAACCGGGCCAAATTTATACGCCTATTACGAAAAACGCGTAATACTTCCAAGTATTACGTAAAATTACCATGTATTAACTCGTATTACGTAATACCATTTGGTATTCCCTTAAGTATTACTTAATATTACTTGGTATTACGTTATATTCCATCCTATTACTAAGTATTACGTAAGTGCTACCATCTATAATTTAAACTATATATTAATGTTAAAAGGTAAAACTGTCTTTGAAGGTGTCGAATTGAGGTAGGTAACTAATATACATATCATTTATTATCTATAAATAAAACGTACAATTATTAAAAGTAGTCGAAAAGCGGTAAAGTTTCACCGATTAAACATCAAATTTTAAAAAAAAAATTTTAATTTTTAAATTAATTATCTGATTAAATATAAATAAAAAACAAAAACTTAATTTAAATAACACAAAATAATATAAATAAATAAATAAAGTTTTTATTGCATATTCAGTACAATACAGAACATATAATACAAAATATACAAAAGGCCATCGACCGGGGTCCTTCAGCCTTAATATAAAATATTAACATTATTGCAAAATAAATATTTATTAAATATTCAGTTCAGATCAAATATATAAAGTAAAACATCTTATCCTAATACAAATAGTATAATGGAAGGAGAAATATTCGTCGTGTTCAAACATAAACACAGGAGTACCACAAGGATCAGTGCTGAGTCCTGTGCTATTCATCATTTACACCAATGATATAACCTCTTGTATAAGGGCTACAAATGCTTGTTTGTATGCAGATGACACTTCATTGATGGTAACCGAATTAACAACAGAAATTATTAGTAAGAAAACTGAAACTATCCTGAACAATATGCAAGAATGGTTTAATACAAACAAACTAAAACTTAATAA